AAAAAAAAGAGTTGGACCAGGCCAGGCGCAATGGCTCATGCCTATAATAATCCCAGCACTTTGGGAGGCTGAGGTGAGAGGATTGCCTGAGCCCACAGGTTCAAGACCAGCCTAGGCACTTGGCGAGATCTCATCTCTACAATAAATCAAAAATTAAAATTTTAATTTTAATTAAATTTTAATGCTGGACATGGTGGCGCATGCCTATAGTTCCAGCTACTTGGAAGGCTGAGGGGCAAGGATCACCTGAGCCCAGCAGGTTGAGGCTGTGGTGGCGGTGAGTGTGCCACTGTACTCTAGCCTGGGCAACAGAGTGAGATTCCAACTAAAAAAAAAAAAAGAGTTGGACCCATGGCTGGGCATGGTGGCTCATTCCTGTAATCCCAGTGCTTTGTGAGGCTGAGGCAAGAGGACTGCCTGAGCCCAGGGGTTCGAGACCAGCCTAGCCAACTTGGAGAGACTTCGTCTCTACAAAAAAAAAAAAAGCTGGGCTGTGGTTCCAGCTACTTGGAAGGTTGAGGCGGAAGGATCACCTGAGCCCTGCAGGTCGAGGCTGCGGTGACCATCATCTGCATCAGATACCTCACAAAATTTTTAAAAGCATCCTAAGTTGAGACAGTTAAGATTAACATGCTGTTTTTTCTTAATGTCCTGCCAATCAGGCTTGATTCCTTTAGCTTAGGCCACATTACTCTAAGTACGGGTGATGAGTAGGTATTTATTACTTAGAGCATAAGCTATTGCCACATTTTCTTATTTTTATTGAGTCAGGGTCTTACTCTGTCACACAGGCTGGATGGAGTGCAGTGGCATGATCATGGCTCACCACAACCTCAACCTCCTGGGCTCAGGTGATCCTCCTCTCTCAGCCTCCTGTCCCGCGTAGCTAGGACTACAACCAGGGTCTCACTATGTTGCCCAGGGTGGGCTTGAATTCCTGGTCTCAAGCAGTCCTACTGCCTTGGCCTCCCAAAGCGTCAGGATTAGGTGTAAGCCAATGCACCCGGCCACTTTCAGTTCTAAAGAATATGCATTTAAACTGGAAAAAGAAGCTCAGCATGGAGAAATAAACAAAGTTACCGAGTTTTTGGTGTGTTTCCTGAATGATCGAGTCTGTGCCCTTAACAACCAGATTCGTCAGCGTGGTTTGAATTTTCTTCTTAGGAGCAACAGCTGCTGCACTGGAATGACAAGAGTCAAGTCCCAAAAGTAAAATCACTGAACTCCAAAGCTCTGATGAAGTCAGGAAGGCACAGAAATATTCATTTATAACAAACCATCCAAGTTTCTCCAAACACCTTCCACGTAGGCTTTCTTAATGCCATGGCCTGACAGCATGACTGGTTTATGCACTGTCATAGATGAAAAACAAGAGGCAACCTACGGATATGCTTGGTCTCATTCTGGAAGGACAATTTGGCAAAAGAATTTTAACAATGTCAATACTTTAATATAGCAGCCTGGGAATTTATCTTAAAATAATTAAGGACTATGCAAAAAGTGAGGATATTAACTACAGCTTTGTTTATGTCATAAGTTGCAAACACCATGAATGCTCATTTATAGGAAATTGCTGTCTTGTTTTGTTTTTCAGTCAAGGTTTCGCTCTGTCACTCAGGCTATAGTGCAGTGGCACAATCTTGGCTCACCACAGGCTAAAACTCCTGGGCTCAGATGATCCTCCTGCCTCAGTCTCCTGAAAAGCTGGAAATATAGGCACACACCACCACGACCAACTAATTTTTAAATTCTTTTTTGTAGAGACAAGCTCTCACTATGTTGCCAAGGACGGTCTTGAACTCCTGGGCTCAAGCAATCCTCCTACCTTGACCTCTCAAAATGCTGAGATTACAGATGTGAACTACTATGCCCGAACTGGGGAATTGTTAAATAAATTACTGAAGAGTGTATAAAAGAATGCTATGTAGCCATTAAACATAATGCCATAAGTGAATACTTACAAGAAAAACATGCTGAAAAAAGGGAGGATACAAAGTATAGGTACAGTATGATCTCATGTTATAGTACTAAAAATTTATACATATAAAAAACACAACACCTAGAAGTATATATACCAGGGAACTAGCAGTTTTTTTTACGTGGTAGGGTTATAAATGGTCTTTATTTTCTCACTTTGGTTGAACTATATTATACATTCTCTTTAAAAAATGTACATGTATTGCTTTAAGCAGTTTGGAAAAGTTCAGAAATCATTTAATCTTAAAAACAGGCTGGGCACAGGGGCTCACTCCTATAATCCCAGCACTTTGGCAGGATTGCTTGAGCCTAGGAGTTTGAGATTAGCTTGGGCAACATAGTGAGATCCTGTCTTTACAAAACTTCAAAAGATTAGCCAGGCATGGTGGCGCAAGCCTGTACTCCCAGGAAGCTAAGGTGGAAGGTGCCTGAGCCAGGAGGGCTCACTCCGCCAGGGTGACAGAGCGAGACTCCAACTCAAAAAAAAGAAGTCTCAGAAATGTTCCTGATGTTACAAAATGAACAGGATGTGTGAGTCCTCTTGCCCCATTACTGCTGGATTGGTAACAAACTTGGCATTTTGTCCTTGGACCAACTGTAGCTCCCTCATGCCAAGGCCATCAATCACCTACATCAGGGACTCTGTGAGGAGGCTGAGATTCCCAAGAGGGACCACCAACATCTCCATCCTCTCCCTCCTGGGTGAGGCTTCTCTGCACATTCACTCACGAAAGGACGTTTGGACTCCAAGAGGCCTGCAATCTCAATCAGATACTCACGAGAGACATGAGTTAAAGGACGCTAATGGTCTGATTAACACACTATTAACAGCCGTACCATCTGCCCTGACAAAGTGGCACTCTTTGTATTAGAAGTCAAAGAGGAAGCGTGGGCTCTGGGTTAAAGCCCATTATAACATGACTCACTCTTCTCTCCCCCTTCTGGATGTCTCCACTCTCCTTGGGAATAAAAGCTGTCCTTATCTACCTTGTTATAGGCAGTGAGTTAGGAAAGATAAAACCTATGCTAGTTTTCTGTAACAGTTACCAGGTTTAGTCTTATAAGACAGGCAAAATCCTTGTCCCCAAAGAAGCCCCGAGAAGGTCTTACATTGAGGCCGCGAATGAGGCAGAAGAAACTCCTCCATAGTAGAAACCATCATGGCACAGACGTTCTTTGAGGCTGGCGCCCCTGCGGGCAAACTTCTTTGGAATCCGTCCTCCGGAGAAGGTGGACTGCAAGTCGGCCCGCTTGGCACTGAGCTTCTTGTACTGGGCCTGGACATGGTACTGACAATACTCGCAGTCGTGCTGCAGATAAGAAGAGAAGCTGCATCAGCAACAGGCTACGGGCCAAGAGCGATGACAGCCTGATACAGTCCCTCCTCCCAGCTTCCAGAACACCATTCTGCCTGCAGAGTCCTCCCTGCTGACCTCTAAGCCTGACCCCAAGAAGAAGAGCCATGCACTTCCTGAGGGGAAGATGTTCTCCCCTTTAATTACTCGGAAAGGACTAGTCTGGCGAAAGAAAAAGTGATAGAATATATCCCCTTAGCTGGGCGCAGTGGCTCACACCTGTAATCACGGCACTTTGGGAGGGAGACCAGCCTGAGCAACATGGCGAGTCCTTGTCTCTAAAATAAATCAAAAAATTAGCTGGGCATGGTGGCACATGCCTGTGGTTCCACCTACTTAGAAGGCTGAGGTGGAAGGATCACTTGAGCCCAGCAGGTTGAGGCCGTGGTGGCCGTGAGCGTGCCATTGCTCTCTAGCCTGGGTGACAGAGACTCCAACTCAAAAAAAAAAAAAAAAAAAAAGAATGCATCCCCTTTACCCTCCTTCTACAAAGGAAAAGGAAATAAAATCAGCATCTAGAAAAGACCTTGAAAATGTGTTAAATGAAAGATGTCAGACACAAAAGGTCACACAATGGATTGTTCCATTGAAAGGATATATTCAGAATCAGTGGATCCAGAGGGAAGAAAGCAAATTAGAAGTCCCTAGAGCCTGGGTGTGGTGGCTCACACCTATAATCTCTGCACTTTGGGAGGCAGAGGCAAGAGGACTGCCTGAGCCCAGGCAACTTGGCAAGACCTGGTTTCTACAATAAGTAAATAAATTAGCTGGGTGTGGTGGCACACGCTTGTGACTCCAGCTACTTGGAAGGCTGAGGCAGAAGGATCACTTGATCCCAGTAGGTCAAGGCTGCAGGGGCCATGAGTGGGCCACTGCACTACAGTCTGGGTGACAGAGTGAGATGCCTCAAAAAAAAAAAAAAAATTCCCCAGGGTATGGAGCTAGTGGAGGATGGGAACGATTACTTCATGAGTATGGGGAGTTTTCAGAGTGATGAAAAGTTTCAAGCCGGGCTTGGTGGCTCAGCCTGTAATCCTGCGCCTTTGGGAGGCTGAGGTGAGTGGATTGCCTGAGCCTGAGGGTTCGAGACTCGCCTGGGCAGCGAGACCTCATCTCTACAATAAATCAAAAAATCAGCCAGGCGTGGTAGCGCATGCCTGTAATTCCGGCTACTCAGAAGGCTGAGGTGGAAGGATTGCCGGAGCCCAGCAGGTCAAGGCTGTGGTGGCTGGGAGCGGCCACTGCACTCCAGTCTGGGTGACAGAGTGAGACTCCAACTCAAAAAAAAAAAAAGTTTCAAAACAAGAGAGCTGGTGGTTATACAACTAAATATCACTGAATTATATGCTTTAAAAATGGTTAATTGACCATATGTGATTTTTTTTTTTTTTGAGTAGGGATCTCACTCTGGCACCCAGGCTGGAGTACAGTAGCATGCTCACAGCCACCGCAGTCTTGACTTGCTGGGATCAGGTGATCTTTTTGCCTCAGCCTTCCAAGCAGCTGGAACCACAGACGAGTGTCACCACATCCAGCTAATTTTTATTAATTTTTATTGATTTATTGCAGAGACAAAGTCTTGCCAAGTTGCCCAGGCTGATCTTGAATCCCTGAACTCAGGTAATCCTCTCACCTCCACCTCCTGAAGTGCTGGGATTACAGGAGTGAGCCATCATACCCGGCAAATGTATGTGAATTTTACCTCAGTAAAAACTAATTTAAAAATGAAACAAAATCTGTGTCTGGTGAGGTTTCCCGAGCTATTTCTCAGGTTGATCTTTGGACAAATGTTATTCTTTCAGTGAAAGACACAGATGAAGCAGTATTGTTCCGCTGGGTGAGCCCTTAGTTATGGCGACAATGGGATGTTAGTGATTTAGCTCTTGTCGGAGGTCTGTGCAGTATGCCACGCTGAGATCTCCTTTTCTAACTGTCTCCTACCTTTTCCCCTGCCCACTAGTTCATCTGCTAGAAAAGAATGAAGCCGGGCACAGTGGCTCACACCTGTAACCCCAGCACGTTGGGAGGTGGAGGTGAGAGGGCTGCCTGAGCCCGGGGTTCGAGACCAGCCTGGGCAACTTGGCGAGCTCTCATCTCCACAAGAAAGCAAAAAACTAGCTGGGCGTGGTGGTGGGCCAGCTACTTGGAAGGCTAAGGCAGGAGGAGTGCCTGAGCCCAGCAGGTTGAGGCTGCGGTGGCCGTGAGGGTGCCACTGCACTCCAGCCTGGGCGACAGTGAAGACTACAACTCAAAAAGAAAATCTCCTTGCCCTTTCCCTGGCCTTAGTGTATTAAACTGGCAATTATTAACCACACATTTCATTTCCTCATTTTGACTCTTTCTGGTAAGTAGGAAACTGAGCTCCAAATGGGTCACTGCAGCTAAAGCAACCACAGCTGACTCCTAATAGTTCTTTTCTCTAGCGGAAACCATCCTAACAAGACTGAAACTAACCAAGTTCACAGTCTGTGTACAAGGCTCTCCACTCTTCTTCTTTGCTTTGCAGGTTCCGAGGTCGAGAGCTTCACCCATAATTAAGACCTTTTGAGGATGATCAATCGATAAGCACACCTGTGAAAAAGAGCGGGGAAGGAGTTAAAGGCAGACAACGTTATGGCCTTTTATTAGCAGAATCAGAAAAGAATGGTCAGAGTAGGCTGGGTGCAGCGGCTCATGCCTGTAATCCCAGCACTTTGGGAGGCCAAGGCAAAAGGACTGCCCGAGTCCAGGGGTTCAACATCAGCCTGGCAACTTGGCGAGACCATGTCTCTACAATCAATCAAACAAGAGCTGGGCATGATGGCTCACACCTATGATTCTAGCTACTTGGAAAGCCAAGGTGGAAGGATCACCTGAGCCCATCAGGTCGAGGCTGTGGTGGCCATGAGCGTGCTACTGCACTCCAGCCTGGGTGACAGAGTGAGATTCCTTCAAAAAAGAAAATAATAATTTGACTACAACAGAGCAAAGCTTCTTGCTAGGTCAGAGTAGAGAACTTGACCGTTGCAATTCATAGGGTGTCTAGCTATGCAATTTACTTGAGAAGCCAAAAATCCACACTGATTTTAAATTGCAGCTATAGCTATAATGAATGAAGTAAAATTCCCTCAACTGTAAAACACTGCCTTCCTGACTCCATCGTGTAAACCTACGTAAAGGATCTAAGGAAACCCGAGTATAATAGTCCAAAACACTCCAGGAACCGTGGAAATAACTTGAAAAGACAGAATAAAAGTGGTTGCTACAAAACACTTTAGGTAGAGATTCAGAACACTGATTGGGTGATGAATGAGCAAATGCAAAGCCAAATGAACAGAGACAAAATAATATAAAAGCGTGACGCATTTTCTGGAGGTAGACTAATGCAAATATTTCTGGTAAAACTCAGCTAATTCATAAAGACACTATCAAGCAGTCAATCAATCAAATCACAAAAACAGCCTCTTACCTCCTCTGAACCATCCTTGGGCTTCATGGGATTAGCATTGAGCAACCCGATGACAGTACCTTGTTCCGTCTTCCAGAGTTCTTTGTGAACTTCTCCAAACAAGAATAAGGACACGCACTGTGTCAGGTCACGAAGATCATTCAGTTTCCAGATGCTGAATGTTTTTCCCTGGAACAAACATTTATTCTTATTTTTAATAATCTTTTGACTCATGGGTTATACTGGCTCCATGTATGGCTCAAGTGTTTAATTGTGAAAAAAAAAAAAAAAACCCACACTAAACATACCATCAGAATGACTGATAATTGAGTCTGGGCACAGTGGCTCATGCCTGTAATCCTAGCACTTTGTCTGAACTCAGTGATATGACTGTCCTTCTGTGAAACTATGCAATACCTTTCTTGGAAGAGTTCAGAGACTATCTCACATCTACTAATCTGATGTCATTAGAACCACGTGTGAAGCAATTAAGAACTTAATCAAATGAAAACCAGACTTGACCACGTTCACTTTGACATAATAAGGCTAGAGTAGGACCCACTCAACTAAATTCAACCCTGGTGCCAGATCTCATGAACAATCTAATGTTGGCTAAGATCTAAACGTGAGAAATCCCAGTATTTCAGAGCGAGGAGAGATTTTCAATATAATGAAAGCCAGTCCCCTCATTCTATAGATAAGGAAAAGGCCCTTAGAGAAAGATTAAGGGTCAGCCAAAGCCACATAACAGTTAAAGGGAGAACAAAGGTTTTCTGATTTACCAGGCCACAAAATAACTTTCCCACTACACCCTAGACAACTGCAATTTTGAAACTTGTTAGATCATTGGTAATAGCCATCAAATGAAATATACCATGCCACACTGGCACAGGCCAGCAATTTCACCACTTCTGTGATTGATGTCTGACATCCATAGGGATCTCCAAAGGTTCTGTGAACTCAGATGCTCTGGTTACAGGCTGCCTTCCTCCACAGGAGGGATTACAGTGACAGCCACATGTCACCAAGAAGAATGACAAGTGAGACGCAATAAGAATGATTTAGACAATGAAAAGCCCAAGAAGCCAGGTGTGGTGGCTCAAGCCTGTAATCCTAGCACTTTGGGAGGCCGAGAAGGTTGCCTGAGTCCAGGGGTACGAGAACAGCCCGGGCAACTTGGCAAGAACTCGTCTCTACAATAACTAAAAATAAAAAATTAGCCGGATGTGATGGCGTGCGCCAGTAGTTTCGGCTACTTGGAAGGCTGAGGTGGAAGGATCACCTAAGCCCAGCAGGTCGAGGCTGCAGTGGCCGTGAGTGTGCCACTGCACTCCAGTCGGGTAACAGAGTGAGACTCCAACTGAAAAAAAAAAAAAAAAAAAGAAAAAAGAAAAGCCCAAGAAACCTGTATAACCTGGTCTTCTTTAAGTGTGGCGTCCTTTGCAAATATCCCTTCAATGCCAACCCAGTGACGGAGTGGCAGCTCTGAAACTTACTAGTAGTTATAACAAAATGAAATACCAACAGGCTCTGAGTCACAAGTTAAGGACACTGTGTCCCCACCATTTGTTTGCCATAAAGCAGCTATGAAACTAATTAAATGGCTTACATTGTTGGCACTTTGTGGAGTAACTTTCTTCAAAATAACCCCAAATGTCACCCAGTCTATTTCTTCCAGCTTCTCACTTGCCATCTTTCCCTTGATCTGAGACAGTCTGATCAGTTTTCGACCCGTCATTTTCTTGTTCATTTCTGTAGAGGATACTCGAGGCCGCCTATGTTTTAAAAAAACTGGCAATTAGTAGATTAATATTCTTTTTTTTTTTTTGAATCAGAGTCTCACTCTGTTGCCCAGACTGGAGTGCAGTGGCACGCTTATGGCCACTGCAGTCTTGACCTGCTGGGCTCAGGCGATCCCTCTGCCTCAGTCTTCCAAGTAGTTGGAACTACATACACGTGCCACCACGCCCAGCTAATTTTTTTGTTTTTGTTGTAGAGAAGAGGTCTCATCAAGTTGCCCAGGCTGGCCTTGAACCCATAGCAAGAGCTTCAGGCAATCCTCTCATCTCGGCCTCCCAAAATGCTGGGATTATAGGTGCGAGCCACTGCACCCAGTCAGATTAATATTCTAATGAGAAATTATGCTGGGCATGGTGGCTCACACCTGTAATCCCAGCACTTTGGGAGGCTGATATGGGAGGATCATTTGAGCCCAGGAGTTCAAGACCAGCCTAGGCAACACAGCAAGACCTCATCTCTACCAAAAAACAAAAAAATTAGCTAGTGTGGTTGTGTGCCCTGAAGTCCCAGCTACTTGGGAGGTTGAGGTGGAAGGATTGCCTGAGCCCGGAAGGTTGAGGCTCCGGTGAGCTGTGATCATGCCACTGCATTCCAGCCTGGGTGATAAAGTGAAACCCTGATTCAAAACAAACAAACAAAAAACAATAAAAAGAAAAAAAGAAAGAAAGAATCTGGCACTTTGCCAGGTGGTAAGGAGCGGTGTCATGGGAAGCAATATCTTTTGTACCTGTTCTCAGGAGGCTTAGTAATGCAGTATGGCCAAGGTGCATGTAAGTTTGCTTTTCCTTGGACAAAGATACGAGATTTATATAGAACAAGAAAGATCACAAATTATTTAAGCTCTTATAAGTTATAATATTCTTTTGAAAATAATTTTTGGCCAGGTGCAGTGGCTCATGCCCATAATCCCAGCATTTTGGGAGGCCAAGGTGAGAGGATTGTCTGAGCCCACGGGTTTGAGACCAGCCTGGGCAACATGGCAAGACCTCATCTACACAGTAAATCAAAAAATTAGTCAGACGTAGTGGCATGTGCCTGTAGCTCCAGTTACTTGGAAGGCTGAGGCGGAAAGATCACCTGAGCCTAGCAGGTCAAGGCTGTGGTGGCCATGAGCGTGCTGGACAACAGAGTGAGACTCGGACGACAGCCTGGACGACAGAGTGAGACTCCAACTCAAAAAAAATGAAAAGAATTTTTGACTTTATTGTGAAACGATGAATTAATAAGACTTATTATTATTATTTTTGAGTCAGGGTCTCACTGTCACCCAGGTTGGTATGCAGTGGCACAATCACAGCTCACCATAGCCTTGACCTCCTGGTTTCAGGCAATCTTCCTGCCTCAGCCTCCTGAGTAGCTGGAACTATGGGCATGCACCACCATGCCCAGCCACTTTTTTGTTTTTGTAAAGACAAGATCTTGTTATGTTGCCTAGGTTGGTCTTGAACTCCTGATCTCAAGCAATGCTCCTGCCTCGACAGTCCAAAGAGCTGGGTATGCCCAGTCAAGGCATTTAAATTTCATCAATTCTGCAAGAATTTTACATTGGGGGTCTATAAGGCTCTACTATTTCTAATTGGATTTTTTAGGTTGACATAGTCATATAACAATAAAGGCTTCTGAATCTAGCTTCAATTAATATATTCTTGTTTCTAATGACTAGCCAAAATTTTTTGCAAAAAAAAATTTTCAAATATTGTTTCATGCCCATCACCAACAATGTTTATTATGTGTAGTGAGTTTCAACTGAACCATAGCTGGAGCAGGCAGTATCATCTCTGGAGGGGCATGTTACCCTGAGAAGAACCCTGCAGACCCCCTCAAAGAAAACCACAGTTTTCACTGCTTTTTTCCATCCCTTGGACTGTCTCAGATGCAGTTAAACACATTTGGAGAATGCTAACTCTTTACTATGCACTTCTGTTGTAGGCTGGACATGATTACTGGTCTGTCCTGGTCTTAAACAGAATAATGGAGATATAATGAAGTAGTGATATAGAATACAAACAATTTATAAGTCCAGAACTTGCCCGGGTACAATAGCTTACACCTGTAATCCCAGTACTTTGGGAGCTAAGGCAGAGGGATCGCTTGAGGCCAGGAGTTAAAGACCAGCCTGACCAACATAGAGAGACCTCACTTGTACAAACAATATGAAATAAAAATTAGCTGGGCATGGTGATATGCATCTGTAGTCCCAACTCCTCAGGAGGCTAAAACAGGAGGATCACTTGAGCCTAGGAGCTCAAGGTTACAATGAGGTATGATTGTGCTACTGCATTCCAGCGTGGGTGACAGAGTGAGACTTTGTCTCCAAAAAAATAAATGAGTAAATAAATAAATAAATAGAAGTCTAGAACCTGAATATGGCTTTTAACTGAATTGTGCCTGGAATTTATTCCTATTTTAACTGAATATCTTAAATTTCTCCCAATAATAGATACAGAGAATACAAGTTTGCCTTAAAAAGGTTATGAGAAAGAAAAACAGCACAGCTATTTTTCTTGACATCAATTATACCATACTATAACTATCCTGGTTAAACTGTGTATCCTTATGTATTTAAAAAATAGACAACGTTGGTTAGGTGTAGCAGCTCATGCCTATAATCCTAGCACTTTGGGCAGCTGAGGTAATTGGATTGCTTGAGCCCAGGAGTTCAAGACTACTCTAAACAGCATAGCAAGAGCTTGTCTCTACAAAAATGAAACAATTAGCTGGGCATGGTGGCATGACCTCATAGTTGCGGAAAGATTGCCTGAGCCCAGGTCAAGGTTGTGGTGAGCCATGATCATGCCACTGCACTCCAGCCTGGGTGACAGAGTGAGACCCCCAAGACAAAAAAAAAAAAGGTCTAAATCATACTTCAGCAGTAAAGATGGAGAAAAAGTTTTTTCAAGTCTATATCACTGTTTTCATCTGTCAATGTCTGATTAAATACATACATGTATTTCTTTATATTCTTTGTTCATTATACAAATAAGAAAAAGTCTTTCTTAAACATTTTATATGGAAGTATACCGCTCTCACTGCTGTTTTATTCAGTTCAAGAGCTGTTAGTGTTTTATGGAGCTTGATGACCTATACCCTACTTCTAAAAGACCTGTCTTTTGAGAGGAGGAAGAGCCATCTAGTGGCGTATGCGAACAGAGGTTCAGTTACTGACCTGAGCCGCAGACCGGAGAAGGTTTCCATGCAGACGGGCTGAGCCCTTTCCCCAGAACTCCCCGGGGTCGCCGAGCTCTGATCTCTAGTCATGCCACTGGGTTTGTTCTGAAGAATAGTCCGAAGTGGTTGGGAGGGTGTACTTGTCATCCTTGAAGATGAGATTTTGGGCTCTAGAAAATCAACGTAAGAATTAAGCGAAAAGAAGCCCCCACCAATAGCCACAAAATCTGTTTTTATAGAATTGCTCCTTTCTAAGCAACATATGCAATAATCAGATCTAGAGAAAACAAAAGAAGCTCCACAAGACCATTTCTGTCCTACCCTAAAAATCTAGGCAGTATGGTTCAACAGAACTTTCTTTGATGACAGGAATGTTTTATGCTGCTGCTGTCCAATATGGTAGTAGCTACCAGCCACATGTGGTTACTGACCACTTAAATGTAACCAGGGCTTTTAAGAGAATGCATTTCTAGCCGGGCTCGGTGGCTCACCCTGTAATCCTGCACTTTTGGGAGGCTGAGGTGAGTGGATTGCCTGAGCTCACGGGTTCGAGACCCGCCTGGGTAGGCGAGACCTCATCTCTACAATAAATCAAAAAATTAGCAGGGCATGGTAGCACGCGCCTATAATTCTAGCTACTCGGAAGGCTGAGGCGGAAGGATCACCAGAGCCCAGCAGGTCGAGGCTGTGGTGGCCAGGAGCGGCCACTGCACTCCAGTCTGGGCGACAGAGTGAGACTCCAACTCTTCAAAAAAAAAAAAAAATTTCTAACTAAATTTAATCTAATTTAAATGTAAATAGTCACATGTGGCTAGTGGCTATTGTATTAAACAATGCAGTTTTAAAAACAGTTACTCCATGCAATGACACGTACTGAAAATTCACCAAGTACAAAGCACTGGGGGAGGTTCTATGAGAGTGAAAGTCCCCCTTCAGGAATGAATAATGAATGATCTGTTTACAGAACAAATTCTACTTTAAGAAAGTCAAGGCCGGGCACGGAGGTTCATGCCAGTAATTCTAGCACTTTGGGCGGCAGAGGAGAGAGGATTGCCTGAGTCCAGGGGTTCGAGACCAGCCTGGGCAACTTGTTGAGACCTCATCTCTACAATAAATCAAAAAATTAGCTGAGTGTGGTGACACGCGCCTATAGTTCCAGCTACTTAGAAGGCTGGGGTTGAAGGAATGCCTGAAACCAGCAGATCGAGGTTGCAGTGGCCATGAGCATACCATTGCACTCTAGCCTAGATGACAGAGTGAGACTTTGACTCAAAAAAAAAAAAAAAAAAAAAATCCAAAACTAGCTCCTTTTTCTTTCTTGTTTCATTTCATTTCAATCCATTCTATTTATGGTTGGGGGAGAGTTAGGTGTCTGAGTATTTGATAACGCTCGCTAAGGTCAGAAAGCTTGAGGATTTTGACTCTCACATAAGATTGTACTGTTTATGCTCAAAGGAACTTTGGATCATTGCTCCCAAGCCAGGGCCCAGCGCTACCCAGTTCTACCTTTAGAACCTAGAGAATATGCCCATGACCCACAACCTCCAAGCCAGACTTTGGACATTGCCTAACAGCTTAGTAATGCCAAAGGTCCTAAGGAGACAGATGCTATTCCCAAACGGACACAATGAATATATAATGTGTCGTCAAATTAACATGAACACTCAAGGCCACAGCTTTTCTCTACTACTAGGGCATAGGTCAAAGCTATCCAAAAGAGCCTTTATGGAGACATGCTGCCAGTAAAATGCTACTTCACCTGGGCGATGTTATTTCTGGACCATTTTGGCTTAGGTCTCCCATAGAATAATCACCTCGGTGATTATTACTAAGGCAATACAACAAAGCCAATACATAGGACTTATAAATCTTTTTCATTTGTCGTGTGTATATATGTGTGTGCTGAAACTAGATTTTCTTTGAGTACTATTCTATACTCCTGGCAAAGATGCCTTTTCTAGAGAATGCACCCTTTGGTTTAATACAATCTGACTTGAAATAAACCTGACCACTTTATAAGGAAATATGCCTTCACCTCACAAGCCTGAAGATTAAATCTCCAGATTTCCAGCATGAGAACACAATCCAGTGGTAATACTACAGTCCAAGTAAATCTATAAGACTATAGAGGTCACCAGGAGCAAGTGGCTCATGCCTGTAATCCCAGCACTTTGGGAGGCAGAGTCGAGAGGATTGCCTGAGTTCATAGGTTCAAGACCAGCCTGGGCAACATGGCATCTCTACAAGAAATAAAAAAATTAGCTGTGTGTGGTGGTGCATGCCTATAGTTCCAACTACTTGGAAGGCTAAGGCAGAAGGATTGCCTAAGCCCAGGAGGTTGAGCCTGTGGTGGCCAAGAGCACGCTACTGCACTCCACGATGCGTGACAGAGTGAGACTCTGACTCAATAAAAAAAACAAGACTATAGAGGTCAAAAAATTCAACCTGTTAAGTATTTAGTACTCCATGCCTAAGGATTTCCTAAGCACTTTGAGATGTAGACAAAGAACATACAAATGTCATAGGGACATCATTCTTTTTTGTTTTTAGGGATCCCATTCTTAAGCATTTATTTTCCTCAACAGGGAGAAAAGACAGGCAGATTAAAGACACACACGCAACGCATGCACATGCACACAACACTGCCAAAATGTTTTTTAAACAGAGCCAGAGCAGTGAGAACCAATGCAGTCCTGAGTATCTCACCTGCAGGGGAAGGCTTTGGTGTCCGAGCTATCCGCTTGGTTCTTGGGGGTGCAGGGGCATCAAGCTCTGCAGAAAACTGTGGCGACTCCTGAATTCTCTGAACTCTCTTCTCCTTAAAGGGGGGCCGTGGAGACTTACCTACTTGATAAAAAAAAAAATCAGCAAAGCCAATTAATTTAGAGAGGGACTCAAAGTCTGTTTTTCCAGGAGCTGGATGCAGAAGTAATGTTACAGTCTCTTAACAACAGAAAAGTACACTACTGTCAGAATGAGAGTCTCATTACCAGGAGATTTATGTGAAAGCGTTGGACTTGCAGACTGTTTAATTGTTGCTGCTTTTAGTTGTTCTTGTAAGGACTTCATTTGCTCTTGCAATTTCCTTAATTCATCTAGGAAGCAAAAATATATTGATTTAAGAACCAAGCAGGAGAAAATATTATACATGATAAAAATGCTGGCATTAATTTTTTTGTCCACTCTTCTCCCCCAAACCCTGAGACCCACCATATAATCACATACCTAAAGCTCACAATTAACTTTTATATTTCTAAAAGGTCCTTTAGAGAAATAAATGTTTTATTTCTAGTAATCAAGCCCCTAACATCCAAGCTAGTGATAAATTTGCACTACTGACAGTTATTATAGATACATATTCACAGTTAACACTTAAGTTTTTAGGAATCCAAAAATAATTTTTTTTTTTTTTGAGTTGGAATCTCACTCCATCACCCAGGCTGGAGTACAGTGGCACACTCACCACCACCCAGCACCGACCTGCTGTGCTCCAGTGATCCTTCCTCCTCAGCCTTCCAAGTAGCCAGAACTACAGGCATATGCTACCACACTCAGCTTATTTTTTACCTATTGTAGAGACGAGATCTCACCAAGTTGCCAGGGCTGGTCTCGAATCTGCAGGCCCAGACAATCCACTTGCCTCGGCCTCCCAAAGTGCTGGGATTACAAGGCTGAGCCACTGAGTCCAGGCAAATAATGGTATTTATTTCATAAATTGAATATTGTAATTAATATAATCAATGCTGGCCCAGTATTAAAAATGAATTTTATCATAATTGAAAACTTATAAGAGAAGGCCAGGCGTGGTTTTCACACCTGTAATCCCAGCAATTTGGGAGACTGAGGTGGGAAAATTGCTTGAGCCCAAGAGTTTCAGACCAGCCTAGGCATCATAGTGAGAACCAGTTTCTACACCAAATAAAAAAAATTAGCTGGGCATGGTGGTATGTGCCTGTAGTCTCAGCTGCTTGAAAGGCTGAGGTGGAAGGGTCACCTGAGCCCAGGAGGTCAAGGCTGTGTGATGAGTCATGATCATGCCACTGTACTCCAGCCTGGTTGATAGAGTGAGCCCCCAATTCAAAAACGAAAATAAAACATATAAGAAGGTCAGGCATGGTGGCTCATGCCTGTAATCCTAGGACTTTGGGAGGCTGAAGTGGGAGGATCGCTTGAGGTCAGGTGTTCAAGACCAGCCTGGGCAACACAGCAAGATCCTGGCTCTACAAAAAAATTTTAAAAATTAAAAAATAAATAAAATGTGTAAGAGAAGATGCCAGGCCAGGCTTGGTAGCTCAGCCTGTAATCCCGCACTTTGGGAGGCTGAGGTGAGTGGATTGCCTGAGCCCACAGGTTCAAGACCCGCCTGGGCAATTTGGTAAGACCAAATCTCTACAATAAAAAAAAAAATTAGCCGGGTGTGGTAGCGTGTGCCTGTAGTTCCAGCTTCTTGGAAGGCCGAGGCGGAAGGATCGCCGGAGCCCAGCAGATCGAGGCTGCGGTGGCCAGGAGTGGCCACTGCACTCCAGTCTGGGCGACAGAGTGAGACTCCAACTCAAAAAAAAAAAAAGAGAAGATGCCAGGAATAAGAAAAGGACATGCCTCAAAGTTACTTCTCTGGAATCATCTCCTGCTCAAATGGAATATGCAGTAGCTTTGTTGCCTTGCATCCAGCTCCACGTACACATTAAATCCCAAAGTATGGCCAGGTGCAGTGGTTCATGCCTATAATCCCAGCACTTTGGGAGGCCAAGGTGAGAGGACTGCCTGAGCCACGGGTTCAAGACCAGCCTGGGTAACTTGGCGAGATCTCATCTCTACAATTAAAAAAAAAATTTACCCAGACGTGGTGGCACGTGCCTGTAGTTCCAGTTACTTGGAAGGCTGAAGCAGAAGGATCACCTGAGCCCAGCAGGTTGAGGCTGCAGTGGCCACAAGCATGCCACTGCACTCTAGCCTGGGTGACAGAGTGAGACTCCAACTCAAAAAAAAAAATTAAATCCCAAAGTATGGCGGGGCACATAATATCAAGAAGGCATCTGATCTCAAACCAGGCAAAGTGGGGACCAAAGTGAGGCCCAAACTTTACTTGTACGATGTCCATTTGTATACCGAATCCTGAACTGTACCCCACATCTTTAAAAACAAAATTGAATTAAAATTTTAAAAAATAAATACAAATAACTTTTGCATAATAAATAAATCCCAAAGTACTGATATTCTGTAGGAAGCATGAAAAGTGCTGGAGCCATTCTGAGGGGTTCAATTACAGCTAGCTGACACCAACATAAAGAGGTCCATGACAGGCTCGGTGCGGTGGCTCACACCTGTAATTCCAGCACTTTGGCAGGCGGCCGCGAGAGGACTGCCCGAGCTCAGTCATTCAAGACCAGCCTGAGCATCATAGTGAGACCTCGTCTCTACAATACATCAAAAAAATCAGTTGGGTATGGTGGTACATGCCTGTGGTTCCAGCTACCTAGAAGGCTGAGATGGAAGGATTGCCTGAGCCCAGCGGGTCGAGGCAGCGATGGCCGTGAGCCTGCCGCTGCACTCCAGGGCAACAGAGTGAGACTCAGACTCAAAAAAAAAAAAAACAACAACAAAAATAAAGAAAGAGGCCCATGACTTGAGCTAAATCCTGAACTTAAAAGTTTCTACCAACTCATACAATTTTCTTCTTACATTTACCGCTACCCCTGATTTGGCAGCTATTTTGATGAGAACTGTCAGATCGGTGGTCTTTATCTAACTTATCACAATGAAATGAGAGAAGGGGCAAGTAGTTTTAGCACCTTGCAACTCTTGATTCGTTTTCTCTTGACTGGGGGCAGGAGCAGAGAAGACCCTATTTTTAGCTGGTTGCAATGTAGGAACTTCTTCATCGGTTAAGTCCTCTGTATCACCAAAGAGAGTGGCCAAGTTTTCCTTCTGGGCTTCCATCTTTCCCACTTCATCATCGGCCTCTTCTGTGTAAGATTCACCATCACCATCAGCATCAAAGAGTTCATCAAATGAGTCCGGCTCTCCCTCTTCCTGGGACAAGAAGTCACTTTCTTCTGAATTACAGCCGAAGGCTGACTGGTTCTCCTCCAGCAATGCGGTCAGCAGAGACAGATCATCTTCCTCCCCTAGGGAAAAGAGAAATGACAGAAGTTAAGCCAATGACAAGCACAGCTATTCCAAACATTTCACATTAACAAGAGAAGTTAAATGACTCCACAGAGGCACCATTTTGCCTGGTCTATTTGCTATTCTACTTGCATCTTTCCTGTCCCCAGGTGCTTCTTAAAGAGCCCTGGGCTAAGGAAGAAGAGGCTAATGATTGCTTAGTGACTAGAGTGAACAAGTACCAGGACAAGTTTTTTTTTTTTTTTTTTGAGTTGAAGTCTCACTCTGTCACCCAGGCTGGAGTGCAGTGGCATGCTCACGGCCACCCCAGCCTCGACCTGCTGGGCTCAGGCAATCCTTCATCCTCAGCCTTCCAACTAGCTGGAACCACAGGCACACACCACCACCCCCAGCTAATTTTTGAAAATTTATTGTGGAGACAAGGTCTCACTGTGTTACTCAGGCTGATCTCGAACCAGTGGGCTCAGGCATTCCTCCCAAAGTGCTGGGATTATAAGCATGAGCCACCGCACCCGGCAGGTTATATCTTTTTACCTGTGCTACTTCAAGTAATGAGCTAACTTCCCAGACAACACCTTCCATGAAATTCAGCCAATGAGGGAATAATGGAAAAAACATCAGAGATTTAGACCTTCCTTAGATATATAATTCCCTTGCTTTTTAACTATTTGAGAAATGTTTTCAAAAATAAAGAAAGGTACAAAGAATCGTAAGAAGTATCAATATCCCATCACCCAGAATTAGCCATCATAACATTTTGTCAAGTTTGCTTCTTGACTTGAATGTTAAGTAACACCCTAAGGATAAAGTATTCCATGTCAGATCTTTTTTTTTTTTGAGTTGGAGTCTCACTCTGTCACCCAGGCTGGAGGGCAGTGGCACGCTCACAGCCACTGCAGCCACGACCTGCTGGGCTTAGTCAATCCTTCTGCCTCAGTCTTCCAAGTAGCTGGAACTACAGGCATGTGCCAACATGCCCAGCTAATTTTTCTTGATTTATTGTAGAGATGAGGTCTCACCAAGTTGCCCAGGCTAGTCTTGAACCTGTGGCTCAGGCAATCCTCTCACCTTGGCCACCCAAAGTGCTGGGATTACAGGCATGAGCCACCGTGCCTGGCCACCATGCCAGATCTTATCCCAACCTCTGACCACTGCTTCTACTCCCTGCTGCAATCACCTTCACGATTTAGGGGGATCATTCTAGCCCATTTTTTATGCTTTCACATAAATGTATAGGTAGTCACATATATTTTACTTGATATTTTAAATATTTACATAGCCGGGCGGGGTGGCTCACACCTATAATCCCAGCACTTTGGGAGGCCAAGGTGAGAGAACTGTCTGAGCCCATGGGTTTGAGATCAGCCTAGGCAACTTGGCGAGACCTCATCTCTACAATAAATCAAAAAATTAGCTGGGCAAGGTGTTGCACACCTATAGTTCCAGCTACTTGGAAGGCTGAGGTAGAAGGATAGCCTGAGCCTAGCAGGTCAAGGCTGTGGAGGCCAGGAACATGCCACTGCCCTCCAGCCTGGGTGACATAGTGAAACATCAACTCAAAAAAAAAAAAAAAAATTTACATAAAGATTCCACACTGTATTACTCTGCATCCTTTGTTTACTCACTCAACACTGATTATAAGATTAAGCCAAATTGAAACATACAGTTCTAATGAATTTCTTTCAATTGCTTTACATATCTTATAGTAAGAATATATCATATATTACTCATCCATTTTCCAGTAAAGGACATAGGAGCTATTTCCAATTTTTTCCTACTGCTAAATATGTTATAATCATATCTCAGACTGCTGGGTATGCATACTTTCCAATTTACCAGAGGCTGCCAAATTGTTCCCAAAGTGGCTGTCCTCTCACCAGCACTGTACACGAAGACTATTTCTCTCCACTAGCTCTCCAATAACTGATGTGTCACTTAAAATTTTTTGCTAATTTGTACTGAACGTCAAAAATATTTTGACAGATTTCTTCTTAAGACTCGGCTTTCCAAGTTTCCCCCGGCTGGGTTGCTTTGTGTACACTGTACATAGCCTGCCTGGTGAACCAACATCACACAGAGAATTGCCACCAGGAATGCAGGCAGAGACAGAACAGGGGAGTGAGCGCACACTTCTTGTCGTGCGGGCTTCAACCTGGCTGTCTTGGGATCGAAGCTGTATTTCTGTAGCTTTCAGCACGAAGGAAAAGAGTCACAGGAAGCTGAGTCGGTCTCAACCTCAGGGAGACCGCGACTTGCTTAGGAAGGCAGCTGAAGTCACAGACAGAAAGGTACAACATTAAAATACTACGTGGTGTTTGTTGTTGTGTTTAAGAAAAACAAGTGGTAAAAGCCAAGTTATATTTCATATTCAAGAAGTTCTCACATTGAGTTCCACGGCAGTCACACACTTTGTCCATGTCAACATGTGTTTCACGATATGATTTGTCACAGGAGGGACTGGGGTGATAGTTTTAAATGTCCTTTTTCCTCTTAGTGCAGCTAGATCTAAGTAAAGTGTCTTGAAGCTTACCAGAAACTCAGCATGCTTTTAACACACACACAGGACCAGTGTTGGGGAAACAGACACATGAATGGTAAGAAAAGTAACCCATGAGGAAAGTGTCCAGTGGTGGTGTGGTGGATGGCTGGTTGAGCAGCAGCTGTCCATTAGATGGCGGCCAACTACTGTGTAACTATGTACATGTTTGTTGGGATGGCTGTCCTGTATTTCTATATTGGAATAAAAATTTCTATAAATTATCGCAACTGAAAGTAAATATTCTAAATTAAGTTCCACTTCCTAAATTGTGTGGCTTCCATCTTGGAAAGTCTAGAAGACTGTTTAAGACGGGAGCCAGAGGCTGTGGGAGGGAAACATGCTCTGTAGGTGTTTTTTGGCCTCTAACCATCAGTGTAGGGTTTTTTCTTTCCTTGATGGCAGTACAAAGACTTCAGTTTCATAACATACACTCTTGACACTTTCTTCAGAGATACTTTGTATTCAAGATTCTCTCATGAGGTCTTTGGGTGAGAGCTGGGAGGCCACAGTGCTCAGGTCCTGGCTCTTCAGTGAACTTAAGTGTGTGACCTTGGGCGAGTCACTTAACCTCTCTGTGCTTCAGTCTCCCCGTCTTGCAAAACGGGAACAATATCTACCTCACAGGGTTGTTGTGGGGATTAATTAGAGATAATGTCTATAAAGCATTTAAGGTTCTTAAAGAAGGTGCTATAGAAATACAAAATAATATCTATTAAAGTTGGTTTATTTGTGAAAAAAAATTTCTTGCTAGCTGGACATGGTGGTGCGTGCCAGTAGTTCCGGCTCCTTAGAAGGCTGAGGCAGAAAGATCGTCTGAGCCCAGCAGGTCAAGGCTGCGGTGGCCATGAGCATACCACTGCACTCCAGCATGGGCAACACAGTGAGACTCCAACTCAAAAAAAAAAGAATTTGTTTTTGCTAGTCTGATAGATGATGCTTTGATTGGTACTTCCTGAATTACTGGTGAGGCTAAGAATTGTTTATTTCTCGTCCAATCAGATTTCTTCTTTCTTGATTTGTCTATTTATTTTCTTTCCTCATTTTTTTTTCCTATTTGGTCATTATTCCTTGTTAAAGTCAGAGGCATTTAAAGCAAAAACGGTAAGGATATCCGGCCCACTCTCCTCATTTGAGACACAGGGGCTAGGCCGGACTCATGGCTCAGCCTGTAATCCCAGCACTTTGGGAGGCCGAGGTGAGTGGATTGCCTGAGCCGGCGGGTTCGAGATCAGCCCGGGAAACTTGGCGAGATCTCATCACTACAATAAATCAAAAATTAGCTGGGTGTGGTAGTACGCGCCTGTGTTTCCAGCTACTTGGAAGGCTGAGCCGGAAGGATCGCCAGAGTCCAGCAGGTTGACAGTGGGGTGGCTGTGAGTATGCCACTGCCCTCCAGCCTAGGTCACGGAGTAAGACACCAACTCAAAAAAAAAAAAGATACACAGGGGCTATATTACAAAGAGTAAGGACTGGTTCAGGATCACTTGGGGAAACAGGTCAGTAGAAGCCGAGGTTGGTGAGGCGGCCCTAGATCAGCAACCCAATGTCCTTCCACTACACGGTGTCCCTCCCCAACCCTGGGACCCTCCCCAGAAGGAAAGGGACCAACAGGCAAACACAGACCGAGAATCTGATGACAAAGCCCAACACTGGGAGTCAGATGTTATATAATGGTTAGCACAGTCAACAAAGACTTCGAGACTGCAGGGCACAGCAAGGGAGAGGAGACGATGGCAGCCTCCACGTTCTGTCTGGGTGAGACTCCCACCCACATGGCACAGGGAAGCAGGGGCCTCCCCCATAGCGTTCCCAGCTGCCAAAGATGGCACACCTTGCACAGCCTCTCATAGCCTTGCATAGCCTCGGTGCACACCACAGGGAGCCACAGGAGGAAAACACTGCCTTGTGGCCCATACCCTTCACCTTGGGCCTACCTTCTTTCACGAGTTCCACAGGGCTAATCCCATGATGTCTCACACCCCTGTTTACTTTGGTCACCGCCAAAACCCATCAAAACCCATGTCTTCTCCGTACGACGCTGACTCAGTCTTCCTGCCTCCCATTCCCAAACCCCTGAGATCTGCTCTGTGGAAACCAGAATCTAAGGCCAACAAGTTTCCCTGATCCTGAGTGGCTCTTACGACTGCAATCTGGCTACCCTGCAACCTTCTTGAGTGGGAGAGGGTTAACTGTTCACACCTCGCACTGAATGTCTAGAACAGTGTTTGGCACGTACTATGTGTCAATCAACCTCAGGGTCCCAGTGTCTTCCTTGCTTACCAGTCTCTTTGGAAGCATTCACGTTCTTCCAGACCACAGCGCCTCACACCACCACATTTTGTCACCCCGCCCGGTTACTGTCCTCTGCTGACCTCCCCTACACAAGCCTCCTGGTCCTCCCCTCCATCTCTGCCGCTGCCACCTTCTCAGGCACAACAGCAGCAGGATGACCCAGTCAATATCTTGGTCTCTTGACCTCCTCACCTTCAGCGATTTGTCCCTTCCCCGCATCTTATCTACAGTCATTCCTTGTCACAGGGAAGGCACAAGTGACCTCTGAGCATCCCGTGACCCCTACTCTATCCTTCCGGCCCCTCACTCCAGTGTTCCCACCCAGCTCTCTTCAATTTCAAACTGTCCAGTCCATCGACTTTCCTACCCCATGTTTACTGTCCCTTGTGCCCTGTGGATCTGCGGCCATCATGATCACTGCCTTCTAGAGACCCTGAGCTCCTCTGCTGCTCTCCGATGCTTTCATGTTCCTTGACAATAACCTTAACCCTGATTAAATCCAACATACTGCCACCTCCATGCCTGCACCCCAGTTGGTGAATGCTCTTGGAGAAAGACATACCACCAGCTGGGCGTGGTGGTCCATGCTTGTAAGATCAGCACTTTGGGAGGCAGAGATAAGATGACTGCCTCAGCCCCTGGGTTTGAGACCAGCGTAGGCAACATGATGAGAGCGTGTCTCTACAATAAATCAAAAAATTAGATGGGCATGGTGGCGCACACCTGTAGTTCCAGGTACATGGAAGGCTGAAGCAGAAGAATCACCTGAGCCCAGCAAGTCGAGGCTGCAGTGGTCATGAGCGTCAGTGTACTCCAGCCTGGGTGACAGAGCGAGACTCATACCACCATGCTGACTGGTCTAACTTTATATTTATGCATGTGAATAACAACAGGCATTCAGCACTGCTTACAAATCCCCACACTTCCCCAACACAATGCTCTCGCATTCTCTGGCTGCATCACAAGGTCCCTCCCCAAACCTATGCCCTCTCTTCCCTCTTTGCTCTCAGCCGGTGGCTTTTGTCTTATATTTCCAACTCTGAGCATTTCTTTTTTTTTTTTTGAGTTGGAGTCTCACTCTGTTGCCCAGGCTGGAGTACAGTGGCACGCTCACAGCCACCGCAGCCTTGACTTGCTGGGCTCAGGCTATCTTTCTGCCTCAGCTTTCCAAGTAGCCAGAACTGCAGGGGTGCACCATCATACCTAGCTAATTTTTTGACTTACTGTAGAGACGAGGTCTCACCAAGTTGCCCAGACCAGTCTCAAAGTGCTGGGATTGCAGGCGTGGGCCACTGTGCTTGGCTCAAATTGGATTTTTTAAAAATTCAAATTTATTACACATTACCCTTTAAAAAAAAGAAACTCAGATGTTGAAATTCATTACATTGTCATATGCGATAGTCCCCCCCTTATCCATGGGGATATATTTCAAGGCCCTTAGTAGATGCCTGAAACCACGGATAGTACCAAACTCCATATAGATGGATTTTCCTGTACCCTTGATTAAGTTTAATTTACAAATTAAGCATAGTAAGTGATTAACAACAGCAATAATAAAGTAGAACCATTATAACACTATATTGTAATCAAATATAATATATTTAAAAATGTAAACGTGGTCTTTCTCTCAAAATATCTCTTGTTCTGTACTCTGAACTGTAATTGACTGCAGAAACTAAGCCAGGGAAAGCAAACTTCTGATAAAGGGGGCCTACTTATGTGAAACTCACAGCCCTGTGGTATAATGATAGATTCCTTTTTCCTAAAATCACCAAATTGCCCACAGGGCATTTTATGTAATACAAAGCATAACTTTTCACTGTGAGATGGACATGAAAATAAGAGATGGATGAATATGTGTTCTCTAAGAAATCATGGTGTCTAGGAAGAAAATCTCATTTGCTTGGCATGGCTTCACCATTTGGCCGGTATAGAGGAAATCAGAAAGTTTACTAGTACTAGGAATACACTGTAGAGCAATGTTCCTGCTTATATTTTAGTAGAGAGAGCAAGGTAATAACTAAAAAATCCCAGATAGTTTGTGAGATGGGAGGCACCAGAATGACTCTGTATGCTGATAGGAACTTAAAAAGAGAGGGAGAGATTGGTGATGCAGAAGACTGGTGGTAATTGTAGAATAAAGTCTCTGAGAAACTGGGGAATGGGATCCAGTGAATTAATAGAGGGATTGGCTAGTAATAGGACTAGATATTTTGTCTATTGTCCTAGAAGGGAAACCCAAGAATTGATGTTTAGAAATGTTCAGGCTGGGTTCGGTGGCTCAGCCTGTAATCCCAGCACTTGGGAGGCTGAGGCAAGTGGATAGCCTGAGCCCATGGGCTTAAGACTAGCCCAGGCAACTTTGTGAGACCTTGTCTGTACAATAAAATAAAAAGTTAGTTGGGTGTGATAGCACGCGCCTGTAGTTCTGGCTACTTGGAAGACTGAAGCGGAAGGATAGCCTGAACCCAGCAGGTCAAGGTTGCGGTGGCCGTGAGCATGCCACTGCACTCCAGCTTAGGCATCAGAGTGAGACTCCAACTCAAAAAAGAAAAAAAGAAAGTTCAGAGTTGGAAATATAAGACAAAGCCACCGGCTGAGAGCAAAGAGGGAGGAGAGGGCATAGGTTTAGGGAGGGACCTTGTGATACAGCCAGAGAATGCAAGAGCAGTGTGTTGGGGAAGTGTGGGGATTTGTAAGCAGTGCCTATTGTTATTCACATGCATAAATATAAAGTTAGACCAGTCAGCATGGTGGTATGAGTCTCACTCTGTTGCCCAGGCTGGAGTACACTGGCACGCTCACGACCACTGCAGCCTCGACTTGCTGGGTTCAGTGAGACACCGACTCAAAAAAAAAAAAAAAAAAAAAAAAAAAAAAATCCAGTTTGAGACCATGAGCTCAATTATACAACCAGAACTCTTTGCAATCAGCACAATCATTTTAGGTGACTGCTAATTAGTACAGCATCGCTGTACTAGGTAAATATTGGGTACGCACTCTTGTAAAACAAACCAAGACAAACAAAATTAGAAAGGACAGTAAGCACTTAAGTTGCAGCTAGACTAAAACCACTTCAACAGATTTTAATATCTAACGTGAACTCTGAAGTCAGACTGCCTGGGTTCAAATCCCTGCTCTGCCAGCTTGACCAGCATCCTTGTTTTCCCATCTGTAAAATAAGGTTGTCATGAGAATTGAGTCAGCTAACACATGTAAGGGTCCTAGAGCAGTGCTTGGCACACTGTAAGCACTGGCTCGCTGTTACTATTCTGGAAGACAATCACGTGCCAGGAGGCGAAAGCGCGCCTGAGTAAAAAAGCAGGAATCAGTGGCTGGAGCAACATCCCTTTTGAACCACTGAGACAATACCCGAGATTGGGGAAGCATTTTCACTATGTTGCAAGTAGAACAAACAAGTTCATACACAAAAGGGTGACTTTCTGGAAACAGAGAAATGGAGAAAACCGCTAGTCTTACCATCCATGCTGTCAAGAGGACCGCTGTGACGAAACTTCGGCGGCGGTGCAGGAGCTCAGGAAACGAGTACTGTGGACTCCTGGCTGTGTGAAATCAATGGTAGAAAAGTCACCCTCAGCTCTCTTTCTTTCACATTGAATATTCAACAAACCTTGACCCCACCAACCTTATGGGCTCCAACCTCAGATTCATTCAGCATCGGCCATTTCTTACCCCCTCTGTCACCGCCAACACCACCCCCCTCCTAGGATATAAGCAGTCCTCTCTACTTGACTTCAGACTATGGTTTTGGAAACTCAGTGGTGTGCATAGTAGTTTGTATGACACCAGATTAATTGGATGAGACAAACTGTGAGCAAGGATTACTGGGACTGGTCTAAATACAAGAGCTGTTCTCCCATTTTATTTAGTGTAATGCACCTGACATCTATATTATCCATAGCCGCTTACTGTGCAATTCTACTGTTACAGCCTTAGTCACATCCGGATTTTGATTCAATACTAGTTAGCAAAGCAGAGAAATAGTCAGCATCACTAATTAAGATAAAGTCGTATCATTCTGTGTACTTTTCTTCTTTTCATTAAAAATGATTTTTTAAACTCCAGTAAAAAAGTATAAATTTTTCTAGGCTAGTATTTCACTCACATGTGCTTCACATATGTGACTTTGGCAAGTCCAATGTCAAGGTATAACCTATGGTGCTTTTGTCTTCTTTATTCAAAAACATTTCCCTGGACGCCTTGTGCACCTACTGCTACCTACTGGGGAATCTGGACTGTAAGCTTCTTGAGGGTCAGAAGAAAACTGCCTTGTTCATTCCTATAACCAGTCCTGTCTTCCCCCAAAACGGATCTGTGAGCTCTTCCTCTCCCTCATATCCAAGGCCATCGACAAGTATTATGAGTTCTATCTCCAAAATAATGTTCAAATCTCCGACTTCTCTCCAACTTCGCTGCCAAAACCCTGTCCCAGCCACCATCGACCTTCTGCCTGGATGACTGTGTTCACGTCCTAAGTTGGTCTCTCTGTCCCCCTGCAATCTATTCTCCATACAACAGTCACAGTAACCTTTCCTTTCCTTAGTAACTTTTTTTTTTTTTTTTGAGTAGGAATCTCACTCAGGCTGGACCGCAGTGGCACGCTCATGGCCACCACAGCCTCAACCTACTGGGTTCGGGCAATCCTTCCGCCTCAGCCTTCCAAGGAGCTGGAACCACAGGTGTGCGTCACCACACCTGGCTCATTTTTTGATTTATTGTCGAGATGAGGTCTCGCCAAGCTGCCCAGGCTGTTCTTGAACCCTAGGACTCAGGCAATCCTCTCGCCTCGGCCTCCCAAAAATGTTGGGATGACAGGCTTGAGCCACCGCACCCGGCTTCCTTAGGATCACAAGCAGGTCACAGGACTTCCTTAACTGAAATTCTTTAATGATTTTCCATTGCCCTTAGAATAAAGCTTATAAAGCCTGCGAGGCAGCAGATTCTCCCTCCCCCTCCCCAGCTCCCCTTCTCTCTCTCCTGCTCCCGCTTCCTCATCTTTTCTACCCCTTCCACGTCTACCCACCCCCCAAACTATGCTCCGGTTGAAACCAGTCTGCCTTCACCTTCTTGACGCTGGAGCAGGCCTCGGGCTATTCAGAAAGCTCTCCTTCCCATGCTTCAGTCTCCGCCTTATCCTGGCCCTGGTCCTTGCCAGACCTCCCCGAAGAGCCCCTGGGTCCCCTCTCCCCTGACCCCTTTCGTCTCTTTACCGCACTGGGCCCGCCATCGTGCAGTTGTTAACCGGAACCCCTTTAGACTGCAAGCTTCCTGAGGGCAGGGGTAATGCGATCCGCGCCCCACCCGGCGCGCACTCAAGAATCACGAACAAACGAACGAAGGGAAGCCCAGGCAGCAGGCATCTGGCAAGCATTCTGACAGGCGCCTTTCAAACAGGAAGCCCCGGCTCCTTCAGGGGACGGCCCGCAGCTCCCTGTCCCCGCCCCGGCCGCGCCAGCGCTGCGTTGTCCGGAGCTCGCCTCGCAGCCGCCCGACTCCAGATCTCCCCCACCGGGATCCGCGCTTCTCGCCCTCGGACGCCTCTAAACTCCCCCCCGGACGCTCGAAGTGGCCCCGGCCCCGCCACCGCCACCCGAAGGGCACCCCACGCCCAGAGCCCGCGCTTCTCACCCGGCGCCGACCCTTCTTCCCGGCCTATAGCCCCACGCGCCAAAATTCCAACTGGACTCCGCCTCCTGTCTCTGACGTCGAACGCACGCGGCTGTGGGGGCTCACTGATTGGCTACGTCCAAGCTCTCGGAGGAGACGACCAGGGGAAGAGGACGAAATCCCACGTGGCCCCCACGCAGCGCAATCTGATTGGCTCACAACTTCGGGCGCCCTTTTTGTTGGGGGCAAGGGGACTTCCGGTGGGTGAAGAATTTAGGCTTCTTTAGGTAAAGACAGAGCGCCTGGCGCCCCTAGTGCCGGAAAGTTTAAATCTTCCCGTACAGTATTTTTCCCTGCGGTCCGGACAGTATTTTTCCCTGTGTGGGCTTAATCGCTTGAGCCTCGTTTTCTTTCTGAAGGGTGCAGAGTGACGACGGATGCAGAGAAGCCTGGACGTTTACACTGAACCGGAGCAGCACATTCCCAGACGCCACTGCTGCTCTCCACATTTACTGTGATCAAAGTGGTGGTTTTAAAAGTATTAACAGGCCCGGTGCGGTGGCACACGCCTGTAATCCCAGCACTTTGGGAGGCGGAGGCGAGAGGATTGCCTGAGCCCACGGGTTCGAGACCGACCTGGGCACGTTGGCGAGACCTCGTCTCTACAATAGATCAAAAAAATTAGCCGGGCATGGTGGTGCACGCCTGTAGTTCCAGCTACTTGGAAGGCTGAGGCAGAAGGATCGCCTGAGCCCAACAGGTCTAGGCCGCGGTGGCCGTGAGTGTGCCACTGCACTCCAGCCTGGTCGACAGAGTGACACTCCGACTCAAAAAAAAAAGTCTGAATAAACTGGTAGCTGATTTCCCTTAGCTTTGTCAGTCTTGTGTCCATTTGATATGTTGGGGCTCACAACCCCAAAAAGTGAGCTGGGCTTACTTTTACTCTGACCTTGAAGAAGTGACTTGTGTCTTTGGGATCCCACTTCACCGTCGCTGCAGTAAGGGAAAGGCTGGGTGACATTCTTTGACACAGAACCACTGTTTCCAGAGTAATTCGTGATCCTGAGATTTCGAGAATCTGTAACCGGTGTCAGAGCTGAAGATAACTTACCAGGCAGCCAAGACGTTTTCAGTAAAATTCAGGCCGCTCTCTGTATTTATGCTCTAAAAATAGTGTTTCTTACATAATACAAAGAACATGGTTTCTAAATGCAGAATAATATTTCGCTTCTACATCATCTCAAGGAATTTAAAGCAGAAGAGACTTTGATGGGTCAAATGACCATTTAAAGTCTCCTCCCACCTCCAAGGCACTGCATTCTCCCCCACTGACGATGCATGTCATACAAGATGGTGTCTCTGTCCTCTGTGTCTACCTTCATTTTCAGAACAATTAAAATCGGCTTTAGGATGACCGAAAACTAAACAGTCCTGATGCTATCTACACTGATTTTGTTTCTGGGTCCTAGTGTAGTATTAATGCTCCACTTATGAGTTCGATCTTATTCTTTGAGCCTACTATATGGATCCAGGAATAGGAACAATACCACTTTTGAGGACTGCTAGGGTTGAAAATTCTAGTCATCAAGGTCTAGTAATCAAACTGACGAAATGCGTTTAAATGCATCACTACATCTTGTTACAAAAAGGAGTTGTCAGAAATTTAGTCTTAGCCATTATGCAGAAAGTTCTTAACCGATTCTGATGAGTATTCTCAAGTTCTTTTTAAATTTTTGTTGTTATTGTTATTTTTGAGTTGGAATCTCACTTTGTCACCAGGCTGGAGTGCAGTGGCATGCTCACGGCCCCTGCAGCCTCGACCTGCTGGGCTCAGGTGATGCTTCTGCCTCAGCCTTCCAGGTAGCTGGAACTACGACACACGCCACCACGCCCGGCTTGTTTTCGTGATTTATTGTAAAGACGGGGTCTTGCCAGGTTGCCCAGGCTGGTCTCGAACCCCTGGATTCAGGCAATCCTCTTGCCTTGGCCTCCCAAAGTGCTGGGATCAGGCATGAGCCACTGCGCCAGGCCCTTTTATTTATGTATTTACTTATTTATTTTTGAGTTGCGGTCTCACTCTGTCACTCAGGCTGGAGTACAGTGTCACACTTGAGGCCACAGCAACCTTGGCCTGCTGGGCTCAGGTGATCCTTCTGCCTCAGCCTTCCAAGTAGTTGGAACTACAAGAGCTCTACCATGCCCGGCTAATTTTTCTGATTTATTGTAGAGACGAGGTCTCGCCAAGTTGCCCAGACTGGTCTCGAACCCCTAGACTCAGGCAGTCCTCTCTCCTCCACCTCCCAAAGTGCTGGGATTATAGGTGTGAGCTGCCATGCCTGGCTATTTATTTTTTTGAGACAGGTTCCTGCTCTGCCATCCATGCGGGAGTGCAGTGGTGCAATCATAGCTCACTTCAGCCTGGAAGTCAAGTTATCCTTCTGCCTCAACCTCCCGAGTAGCTGGTACAACAGGCACACACCACCATGCCTGGCTAATTTATTTATTTTTTATTTTTTTGTAGAGACTTGGTCTTGCTATGTTGCCCAGGCTGGTCTTGAACTCATGGCCTCAAGTGATCCTCCCATCTCAGCCTCCCAAAATGCTGGGATTACACTGGCCTGAAGTTCTTCACCTTGTCTATCCAGGTCCCATGTGCATCCAATTCCTTGCAAAGAGTAGAAAACAATACCAATCTAAGTTCTCAAACCTTCCTTGAGTGAAGGATCAAGCAATTCTTGTTGGAATTAGTCATATCGTGGTGATTTGGAGAAAGAATTGGGAGAACAGATTCAGAGTTAATTGAATGTGGGAATATTAGGGATAGAGAAGGAGAGAAGGGAGGGGAAAGACTGGTTTAGGATGGCTATTAGGTGTCTGATTTTTGCAATTGGTGGTTTTCAAGGCAATGCGCTGAACTAGGAAACACAGGAAGAACAGG